TGCCCAAGATCCTGAGAGGAGAACGGAGGAGAAGAGATTGTGGCATGGCCATCCCCCCCTAGGGGATAGTTTCTCGCTTTCTGTCTCTCTGTCTCTCTCTTTCTGGGAAGCGCGCGTGCCCTATAGCAAAAAACTCTCAAAAAAATTTTTAAAAACTTAACATCGGAATCATCCTCCTGGACCAGATATTCTTTTTTTTAAAAAAAAGATTATTTATTTATTTATTTATTATTTTAAATTTGCTATAGAGTACATGTGCTCACTAGAGAAAGAGAGAGAGAGAGTCACCAGGTCTGGGACTCAAACGGCAGTTGGCCATGTGGGAGTCCAGCACCTTAACTACCATGCCAGGTGGCTGGCCTCCTAGATAGTCTTTTTATTGTTCCTGCTTCTTAGAGCCTTTAGGTGGCTTTTCCTGGACACTAAGCCACATTTTTTTTCAATAATTCATGTCACCAAGGGAACCAGCAGTTAGCGTAATGGCTATGTCGCTGGACTCCCACGTAGTCGACCACAGTTCACGTCCCGGACCCGGTGGCTTAAAACTCACGCCGGGCACGTGTGCGTGCGTGCCCAAGATCCCAAGAGGAGAATGGAGGAGAAGGGATTGCGGTGTGACAATACCCCCTGGGGGGTGATTTCTCGCTTTCTGTCTCCCTGTCTCTCTCTGTCTGTCTGGCGAGCACACACGCCCTATAGTGAAAAATCTCTCCCAAAAAAAGTAATAATAATAATAATTCATGTCACCAAAAAGAGTGAAATCCTTATTTCATATGTAGACTATGCTGAAGCAGCACATTGTAATAAGTTTAAAACTCTGGACTGTTCCTTTGTACCTTACAAATCTCTTATGGCTCAGTCATATTTCAATGACATTAAAGTTACCTATCTAATTGCTAAGGAAAAGTGGAGCTCTCTTCTGTCACAGTTTATGGTGGAAAGTGTGAACTTTTTAGACGCCTCTCTTCAAATTCCATCTCAACCACTTAGCAGCTGTGTGATCCCATGCAAATTACTTAACCTTTCTGAATCTCAATTGCCTAATAAAACATACCTAAAGATACATACCTTTTTGGAGTTGCTATGAGAAATAAAAGCAACAGTTTGGCATAAAGCATGTGCTTAATCAATGGTAACAGCTGCTGCTCTTCTTATTATTAATTTATCAGTATTAAATTGATCATAGCATGGTTAATCTTAGAAGAACGTTTAAATATAGAGATAATAAGCTCTCTTATAAGACAAATAGTAATCTTTCTTTTCTTTTCTTTTTTTTTTTTTTTTTTTGAGAGGTTTTTGCTATAGGGCGTGTGTGCTCGACAGGAAGACAGAGGAAGACAGAGAGAGAGAGAGAGACCAAGAAGTCACCCCCAAGGGGAGATGGCCATGCTTCAATCCCTTCTCCTCCATTCTCCTCTCGGGATCTTGGGCTCACACACACGCACCTGGTGTGAATTTAAGCCACTAGGTCAGAGACTCAAACCACAGTCGACTACCATGGGAGTCCAGTGAAATAGCCATTACGCTAACTGCTGGTCCCAATGATCTTTCCTTTCTTGTTGCCATCCATTTTTATAACAAAGAGATACACTGAGGGTAAGTGTCAGAAACCATAAACTCTCTGTCTTTCTTTTTTTGCTATAGGGCAGTGTGCACTTGGCAGAGAGAAGAAAGGCTAAAGCATAACCCCATAGAGAATGGTCACATGGTAACCTCTCCTCCACCTCTCCTTCCTTTAGGGTTTTGGGCACTTATACATACGTGCCTCTCAAGCAACCAAGCTGGGACTCAAACTGCAAGGTAGGCCTTATGGGATCCAGCTGCCTTGTTTACCAGACCATGGAGCCAACTCAGAAACCATAAAGTCTAAGTGGTTATATCATTTGTATTAGAAATAAAAATGATCTAGTCATTGTGGATCACAGTACATATTTACTTAGGATTCTTATTTCAGAATTATTACATTCCTTTTGGTGTAGTAACAGGAAATAAAATTTAATTAAAAACTCAGTTCAGTCACAGTTGTATGAGCTGGTTGATGCCACAACTCAGCAGACTAAATCCACATGGAAGCCCGGGTTTGAGTCCCAGCTTACACTCAAACAGGTGTGTACCCAGGCAAAGGTAGTCCCAGTTGCCCAAGAGACTGAGACCAGAGGACCTTGACATAACAAGATTCTAGCTTAAAAATGGAAAATAAGTTAAAGACTAAAATAGTTTTACTCAATTTTAAATAGAATGCATGTTATGAAAGGGGAAAAGTCTCTGACACAAAGAATTAAAAGCTTCAAATCCATACAGTGACAAAAACGGGGGATATTTGAACTTCTGCATATTAAATTCAAACAATTCAACATGTTGCTGCCAAAACCACTAAAGCGACAGCTCAGTTACTCAGTTTGAGAGTGAAGTGTGCATCCTGTGGACCTCTGTTTAAATGTATCCATCATTAGCTGACTTTGAGGAAATGGGCAAAATCCGTAGCTCTTATAATCAGACATTTAGTATGAAACTAACCTCTGGAATTCTTAAACAGATGGATAGTATTCAGTCAAATTTTTAACACTGTCTACATTTAATACAGCATCACATGATGAGGATGATCATTCGAATGCAGTTTTTCCTTAACAAAAAACACTGTGTTCCATTTAATAGAGTCTTGTCGCTAAGGTGAGAATCAAGCTCTCAAGGAAAGGAGCAAAACAACCGCGCATGTTCTGAAATGCAAAACCCTGTTGGAATTAAAGAGATGAGCTCTAAAACACAGAGGAAGGATGCATTCACAAATTTGCAAGTTAAGTTGGGTACTTATGGATTCATTTTTCTTTTTTTCCTTTCCTTCCTCTTTCTTTTCTTTTTTTTTTTTTTTAATGTCAGAGGTCATATGTTATGGCCCAAAGAAAGAGAAAGAGAGACACAGAGAGAACAAGCATACCCCAATGGATCTGAACATGCCATAATCCCTTTTTCTCATTTCTCCCTCCCATCGGAATTTTGGACACTTGTGCACACGTTCCTGGCATGATTTTTAAAGGCACCTGGGCCAGGATTTGAATCACTGCTGGCCATCTGGGATCTGGCTTCCCCCACACAGCTTTTTCTCGCTGTGCTACGGGGTCATTCCTGTGGGCACATTTTTCTAAAAGACAAAAACGCTAGTCTTTCTATTACCCAATATATTTAAATGATTACTCATCCCTAGTGATGACTAATAGAAACCATCCCATCCAGGCCCCTAGGCTAGTATGATACTCTCCTGTTTCCTGACAATTGCCACATCTTCCCTGATACTTCCCTGCACATCAAAATTCCACTTTCTTCTTTTAATCTCTGGTACAACAATAACAATGGGTAAATAAAAACACAGTTGAGAGAAAAAGAATCAGAATTACAATATCTCAAAATAGAAGAGGAAAATAATTTTTGCATGACATACGAATCAATCAGAATCCATGGAAAACTATCAAATGACACGCGCCAACTTTTTGTAGATTCACACGCACCCACACACATATACACACTCGAAAACCTTCTTCCTTCTCTGGCTGTTTCAGACAACTGACTGATCTGGAGAAAATGCTATTCAAGCCAATCTACTTAATCACCCTCCTGCTGGGTATCATTATGATAGTCAAGGTGCATTCTGTGTAATACACATTAGGTGAAACTCTCTTTAGTCAACAGCATGAAAAATGGCAAGTAACAAACAGCAATATAACAAGTGTAAGAAAACAGAAATTTCTTTCTTTCTTTCTTTTTTTACACTTAGCCACTGTACATCTTTAGAACATACAAAATGGTTTTCACCAGCATGAAAACAGTGCCTATTAGTCAAGTTAACAATATCAAGCCCTGGAAATTGTTTCATGATGACAAAGACATCTTAATTCAGAATTTAAGAACAAAACAGAAAAACACCAGGAGATGTCACTTTGCATATAAGATGTGATCGAATAAAAGAACAAGAACAGGCAACTTTCACATGCGCCTGAAAACCGGCCACAGGCATTTTCTCAAACACATCACTTATGCCTATATGTACCATACCTGAACATACTGTTCTGCCATGCTGCATGTTAATAAAGAATGCAAAACAAAAATGGGGAAATGTTAGCAGAATAAAACGTAAAACAATTGCATGGTAAATATAAAATGCATTCACAAGCTTTTATATCTCGTATTAGCAAGAATCAGCAGTTTCATAATTTCTTTTTAACTCAATGAACAAATCATGCAGCTCTTAGTTAGGAGTCAATTATAAAAAAAATAAAAAATAAAAAAGTGTCGTTGGTTAAAACATCTTGTTCTTGGGACCAGCAGTTAGCATAATGGCTATGTCACTGGACTCCCATGTAGTCAACCGTGGTTTGAGTCCCGGATCCGGTGGCTTAAAACTCACGCTGGGTACATGTGTGTGCATGCCCAAGATCCCAAGAGGAGAATGGAGGAGAAGAGATTGCAGTGTGGCCATCCCCCCTTGGGGTGGGGGGGTGATTTCTGTCTCTCTGTCTCTGTCTGGCGAGTGCACACGCCCAATATCAAAAACCTGTCCAAAAAAGGGAAAAAAATATGTCATTCTTTTCAGATTTCAGAGCAAGGTATAATATCCTGTTACAAGCATCTCCTTAACTTAATTGTTTAATTCACTTTTTAGAGCGACTGAGAGAAAAAGAGAACAAGGGCATGCCTTTTCAGTTATGTCTATTTGATGCTATTTTTTAAATAAAGACTTCAGTCATTATGTAGCATCATGTAAAAATAACTATTGTCAACGTGAGGTACTGACCTCAAATCTAGAACAATGAAACTAAGGTTGTACCATGCGACATGAAGTGTACATTTTAACTGGAAAAAACAGGCAGCTGCGTTGTTCGTAGTTCAGGGTATAAACTTCCATGTACAACTTTTCAACATGTTCAGAAACACACTGCCTACTGACTCAGCTTGACTAACATTCTAGTCGCATGTGGCAAAAGGACTGACCCCACTCCAGTACTTACTTCTCTTCTGTGACACAGCCTGCAAGCAGGCGGTCACAATGTCACAGTTCTTCTGAACTTTGTGCAGAAGCCTATCTTTCTGCTTCAGCTGCCGAAGTAACTTCGCCGACTGAATGCCAATTCTGTACTTGAGCTCTCGAAGGACTGTTTTCAGTTCATTAACGTCTAACGGTAAGGAAAAATAGCAATAAATATCTTGAGAGAAATACAAATTCCAAAAGCTATATATCTAGAATATCTATTTAAAACAACTAATTTTAGCTTCTCCCCCAGGAATACATGTGTTCAGTTAGCTGAGTTCTGTCTTTTGTTTTTTTAAGAGGCCTTAGAGCACCTGTCCTCACCAGAGAGAGAGAAAAGACATTGAGAGGGAAAGTGAGAAATCACCCCCAAAGGGGGATGGCCACACCACAATGCCTTCTCCTCCATTCTAGTCTCAGGATGTGGGCACGCACACACACACACACACACACACACCTTGTGTGAGTTTTAAGCCACCCAAGACTCAAACCATGGTTGGCCATGTGGGAGTCCAGTAACATAACTGCTACACAATCTACTGGTCCTCAGATATTCTAATTAAGTAAATCACTCATTCATCCTACCCTAGCCATGAGAGAAATTCTGGAAGATAGATTTTATCCATGAGGCTACCCATGTGTGTATGCATAGACTTACTTTTACCCTCTCTAGCTCTGGTTGCAAATTTACTTTCTTTCTTTCTTTCCTTCCTTCTTTCTTTCCTCTCTTTTCAAATTATGCCAGAGGGCACATGCACTCACCGTGGGGGGAGGGGTAGGAGGGGAATCACATCCTGTAGGGAATGATCACACCACAATCCTTTCTCCTCCATTTCTCTCTCCTGTTGAGATTTTGTGTGTGCAGGCACACGTGCACATGCACACATGCATATACACACACCCAGTGTGTTTATCAAGCCACCAGGTCTGGGACTTTAACCGCTTAATTGGCCATGTGGAATCCAGCCACCTTAACCACCAGGCTGCAGGTGACTCACAAATTTACCTTTTATTGCCTGAAAATTGGCACATGCATTTTGTATTATTAAAGTGCACAAATAGTAAGTTTGAAAGAAAAATCTTTTTGAGTCTATTACGCTAATTAATGATACACCTAATAGCCGATAACAAGTAGAAGTAGTATTTTTTTTAAAGTACTCATCTTTGTATTTTTTTTTTTTTGAGAGGTTTTTGCTATAGGGCACGTGTGCTCGCCAGAAAGACAGAGAGAGAGAGAAAGAGAGAAAGCGAGAAATCACCCCCAAGGGGTGATGGCCACACCGTAATCCCTTCTTCTCCATTCTCCTCTTGGGATCTTGAGCACGCATGCACACGCGCCCGGCGAGAGTTTAAGCCACCCGGTCTGGGACTCAAACCACGGTCAACTACATGAGAGTACAGCAATATAGCCATTATGCTGACTGCTGGTCCCATGCACTCACCTTTGTAAACGATCAGTTAAAAGTAAATAATTTTATCACATATTATAATATAGAAGAATGTGTCTTGTTAAGATACAGTCTTCAGGGCTAGCAGTTAGCATAATGGCTATGTCGCTGGACTCCCATCGACCGGGGCGTGGTTCAAGTCCCGGACCCAGTGGCTTAAACTCACACAAGGCACGTGTGTGTACATGCCCAGGATCCTGAGAGGAAAATGGAGGAGAAGGGATTGCAGTGTGGCCATCCCCCTGGGGAATGATTTCTCGCTTTCTATCTCTCTGTCTCTCTCTGTCTTTCTGGTGAGCGCACGCACCCTATAGCAAAAACCTCTCAAAAAATAAAATAAAATAAATAAATAAAATACAGTCTTCCGAGAGCCTAACTATTGGATACAATATTTCACCTCAGAGACTCTAATTTTTTCAAACTATGCTAAAAATGCATTTCCTCGGGCCAATGGTATGGAAGTTAAGTGCTGGATCTCACATGGTCAGCTGCACTGTTCGAGAAATCACACCAGATGGAACCAGCAGATGGGGTAAAGGTTACATGACTGAACTCCCACATAGTCAACTGCAGTTTAAGTCCCAGACCTGGCAGCTTAAAACTCAGGCTGGGTGTGTGTGCTTGCATGCTCAAAGATCCCTAGAGGAGAATGGAGAAGGGATTGCGGCATGGCCATTCCCCACAGGGGTTGATTTCTCACTCTCTGTCTCTCTGGCGAGTGCACGCACCCTATAGCAAAAATCTCACAAAAAAGAAAAATCGGCGCACGTGCATGTGTACCCCAAATCCTGAGAGGAGAATGAAGAATGGATTGCAGTGTAGCCATCCAACCTCGGGGGGGGGGGTCACTTTCTTTCTCTCGCTTTCTCTCTCTAGTGAGCACATGTGTCCTATAGCAAAAACAGAAACAAAAACAAGAAAGGAAATGTATTTCCTTTAATCAGGTAAGTTAAGATAATTCTACATTTTATAAAACTAATACTCACAGCAAGTTTTTCTACAAGTAAAAAAGACTGGGGACCCGAATCATCAACAGCGACCTATGAACCATTGTTGCTGTCTGAGAGTTTTCTTTGTCACTCTTAGCATCATTAGTCGACGGTGTGTGATCTGCCAGGAAAATGAAGTCTTCCACTCAACCTGGCATTGACTAGCGTCTCATGAGAGGTCATGTATGGTTGGGATCTACTCATTTTTAAAAGGTTTTACAGAAACTCGAGAGACAAAGAAGAGAATAAAAGAAATATTCAAAAGTGAGAAAAATACTCCATAGGACAAAGGAAGTAAACTTTGGCATCTGTAACAGGGAAGTGAAAACAGATTTAATAGCCGTCATGCCCAACCACACCACAGAAAATGAACTTGACCTTGAGTTAAAAAGAATGGCTCTTGGATGAGCCAAGCGCTTGAGTAATCTCAAGCAAGGCAATGAATGCTCCAAGTTCTGAATCATGCCTAACATCATTTGGATTACTCTGAGAAGCAAATGCGAATGGTTTGTTCAACTGTAATATAAATAGTACCTTGAATCAGAACAAGGAATTATTGTGAAGAAGAGAGAAAAGACCATTTCTTTCTCTCATCCTAAGCTTGAACATGGAAACATATACTGGGAAGTAAGAACACATTTAAATAAAATGAAAATATTGGGGTTTAAGATAATTAAATATGAGAACAAGCTACAAAAGAAAACCAGAAGTTCTTCATTCCTAGGTTTCTTTAGATAGAGCAAATATTTTTCTTTGGCTGTTTAAATAGTATTCCTTCTAGAAATAAAAAGGGTAAGAATCTCATCCCCCTGGCAATTTATAATTATTTTTAAGAGAATTATTTATTGGGACCGGGGCTGGCAGGTAGTATGGTGTTTAAGGACACTGGACTCTCACATGGCTAAACACGGTTCAAGTCCTGGATCTGGTAGCTTGCTCTCTCACTTTCCCTCTCTCTCTATCTCTCTCACTCACTCTGTCCCTCTCTGGTCAAATTAAAATAAATCAATAAAGTTAAATAAAATAATTCTTTGAAAAAAAAAAAAAGAAGAAGTATTTATAAGGAAGAGCAGATGGCATAATGGTTACGTTGCTGGAATTCCATGTAGTTGACCATGGTTCGAGTCCCAGATCCAGTTGCTTAAACTCACACTGGGTACACCTGGGTGTGTACCTCAGATCCCAAGATGAAAATAGAGGAAAAAGAATTGCAGTATGGCCACCCGCCCTGGTGGATGATTTCTCACTTTCTGTTTCTCTCTGTCTGGGTCTCTCTGGTGAGCACATATGCCCTATAGCAAAAACCTCTCTTAAAAAAAAAAAAAGAATTATTTATTTCATTTTATTTATTATTATTATTTTTTAATTTGACCAGAGAAAGAGAGAGAGAAAGTGAGAAAGCAAGCCACCAGGTCCGGGACTTAAACCCCAGTTAGCCATATGGGAATCCAGCACCTTAACCAACACACCACCTGCTGTCCTCCGCTCCCAACATTTAGATTATACTTTTCTTCCACAAAGGAGTTTTAACATGATCTCATTTTTTTAAGGTTTTTGCCATAGGGCACCTGCACTCACCCTAGAGAGACAGAGATAAGGAAAGTGAGAAATCACCTTCCCCCAGGGGGCATGGATGTGCCACAATCCCTTCTCCATTCTCCTCCTAGAATTTTGGAAACAGGCCACACACCTGAGTGATTTTCAAGCCACCATGTCTAGGATTCCACCAACACTCACCCATGTGGGAATCCAGCTCCTTAACCACCACACAACATGCTGGACCCAACACGATCTCATTTTCAGGGACTTTTTTTTTTTTTTTTTTTTTTTTTTTAGAG